TCATAGTTCAGCATACTGATCAATCTAATAAACTTAAACCTACACATCCTCCCTATTCTGGTATTTTAAAGAGTACTTAGCAGAAATATTAAGCAACCTAACTAACAGGTTGCCATCTCCCATAGGGGAAAACATAGGGAACCACCCCCACCTCATGATGCTTAATCGACGTAATCAACTTTAATTTAATGCAGTGTGCATTATTTTTCAACAATAATTAAATAGATTCAACATCTTTCTTCAACAGAATGCAGACTGCACAGATGCTACCTTCCCAAAGGAAAAAGTACTATAGCTTACTAGGGTATATTAGACTTAACAGTTACTATATACAGTAATGGACTTCTATACATTTTACATCAGATTAAAACTTTGGGTGTAAGATTCAGATAATTATTTATTAAAAGCTAGACATTTTAAATGAGAATAAGAAAGAAAAGTATGTCTTTGTGCCCCCTTTCCCTGTTAATGCCCTATCGGCCCCCCTGGCTAAACTTTGCTAGATCCGCCCCTGCACAGTTACCAGCCATCAGCTACGTAGAAAAGATCCTGGTGTAGAAAGTAATATTAAATAAATTCTAACAACAGCTTATCAAGCTTAAACATGCTGCTGTTGTTCAGCCGCTGGTTTCCTCTTTCTGGTGCAAAGTGGGCAAAACAAACAAGAGAGACGGACTCGCGACAGAAAAGCCAATCAGCTGATCATTGATCAGTTTCATGATTGAAGTAGCAGCAGGAGAGGAGGGAGAGAAGACAGTCGCTCCATATATCGGTTGTTAAGCTTAACGCGGGAATGCTTTACAAACATTCAGAGATAAACTTACACACTTGCTTTACTTCTCTGGGATAGTTTCTCTGAGATGAAATGATTTGGAATCGCATAGCGAGGCTCCAAATGCTCCACCAGACCGCCGACAGGTCTCGCACGCCACAGGTGCTATCATGTGATGCATACTGCTCTGACGTGCTAAGGTTATGAGCTGAGTTACGCCATGTCGCAAGTTTTGTGAGGTGCTTTCGTGATATTTAATGGATCGGATTACATTTTTTATTTCTCTCCGATATCCGATCCAGTAATTTAGGTCAGTATCGGACCAATACCGATACCTAATATCGGATCGGTCCATCCATAGTGGAGACCACAGCTTAGTGAAAAAACACATCCTCTCACCCAAACCATGATAGTCACCTTCCCACCGAGCTTCTCGCTGACCTCCTTGTAGCTCGTTCCAGCTGTGTGCAGGCCTACAATCTTGTTCCAGATGTCCTTTGACCGCTCTTTGGTCTTGTCCATAGTAACGGAGAAAGTGGAATAGAAAAAATTGATTCTGTGGACAGGTGTGCTTAACAGAGGTGGAAAGAGTACTAAAATATTTTACTCAAGTAAAAGTACTATTACTTTGCTGAAATTTTACTCAAGTACAAGTAAAATTATCTGTCTAAAAATTTACTCAAGTAAAAGTAAAAAGTAGCTCATTTAAAATGTACTCAGAGTAAAAGTTACATAGTTACTTTTTTGTCAGCAGGAGGACAGCCTCTTCTGAGTAGGGATGGGTATTGATAAGATTTTCACGATTCCGATTCCATTTTCGATTCTGTTTAACGATTCGATTCTTTATCGATTCTCTTATCGATTCTTTTTAAAAAAGGAGAACACTAAGGTCGATTAGCTTAGAACTTTGTTTTATATCTTCTCTTTGAACAAGATAGAAATTTAGGAGTAACATGGCCTTACAAACCCAGCAGTGAGATCTTAAGAGATCCAGCCTATGGCTCTTCAATGTGGTGTCACAGGGACTCATCATGGTTACCTAAACGCACAGTAATGGCAGATAAGGCAGATCGCGCTAACATAATATGCACTGTTAGTTGATTATTTACCTGCCGCATTAACTGGAGAGGACGTGCAAACGTTACCGCTGCTGCTGGGTTGAGATTCACGAGTCCGGAGCGGAATTAAAAACACGACATTCATTTAAGGTTATCACGTGTTTTGTGAGCAAATGCTTTTGCATATTCGTAGTGTTTCCTCCCTTAAATGAAATATCTACTTTGCAAGTATTGCAAGTTGCCCTGTTGTCATCCGTTCTTAAAGTATAACCAAACTTTTGAGCGTTTGAGCCACCATGTTTCCTGCCAGGTAAATGACGCTCCGCAACGTGGTGACGTCATTCGGGGCGACTGGAATCGATAAGGGAATCGTTTGCAAAAATGGCAAACAACTCCAAGGAATTGAAACAGTGGGAACCGGTTCTCAACAAGAACCGGTTTTCGATACCCATCCCTACTTCTGAGCAGAGATGGGCAGTAACGCGTTACTGTAATGTGATTACTTTTTTCGAGTAACGAGTAAAATAAGGGATTACTATTGCAAAAACGGTAATTAGATTACCGTTACTTTCCCGTAGGAACGCTGCGTTACTGCGTTACTAAAACCGTGATTTTTTGCGAGAATGTCTCACGACAGTGACGTAAGCGAGTGCGCCGTTAGTGACAACAGCTGTGTGCAGATCAACAATGGATCACATATCGATTGTGGGAGAGAGTATGAGCGTGCAGCGTGGAAGTACTGACCTTACTTTGAGTTTGATTCCATAAAAAGTGACAAAAACATTAGCGTCCATCGTGCGTGGGAAGAAAACTTCTTTTTACAGCGAAAAAAACCCCTAAACTTCCAAGCAAGCACCGAGAGCGCAACGACGTAATGGGAAACTCACAGAGACACTGCCGTATCCTTCCACTGACCGCTGCACACCTGCACCAGGGTAAACCTCCGCCTACCGCAGTCCTGCTTTACAGGTGAAAATAGAGCAACAGGACCGCTGAGTCTTTGACTTTATTTATGTTCTGCTGTGTTTTACTTGCATCTATTTGAAAGAGTGAGTGTAAACACAAAAAATATTTTATTTTATGTGCTGGAATGTGCAGAAAATAGGTTTAAATGTTAAACTAATTTATTCAACTCAGAGAATGTTGCATATAATTAAATTTTTGCTTGATGCATAAAGTTAAAAGATTAAAACTGATAAAACAAGTTAAAAAAAAGAGACTTTTCCATTTGATTACATTTTGTATGATGGATTATGTAGAAAAAGTAGAATTGGGCTGAAAGATCTATCGCTTTATCATCTTCAGGTTGTAAATCGTGTTTTTAAAAAGTAACTAAGTAACTAAGTAATTAATTACTTTTGAAAATAAGTAATCAGTAAAGTAACGGGATTACTTTTTTGGGGAAGTAATCAGTAATTAGTTACTGATTACTTTTTTCAAGTAACTTGACCAACACTGCTTCTGAGTAGTGCAAAAAAGACAATGGGATAAATCTCAAAGTAGTTGTTTTTTAATTAAAAGAAAAACTTTACAAATTAAAGTGCAGTGGCAGTTAAACTGCAAGTCTATACATCAAAATGGATAATGGTCACCAAACCAACCAACCAAACTGTCAAAACCATATAATTCTTTTACATGAGAATGTGTTCTAAACTGTCAAATAAGAGAACAAGTACTGAATTGAGCTGTACGGCAGCTGCTATAAAAATGTGTTTTAATTTTTTAAACTTGGCCCTGCTCTGTTAATTTTGAGGAGCAATTCAATTCAATTCAATAAAACTTTATTGATCCTGAAGGTTGACCCCGAAGGAAATTGGGTTAAGGCTGCCGACCTTTGCCAGCGCCATCTTACCCTTCTGACCATACATACATTACACAAACATCACATGGGGAAGACAGGTCAGAGAGGTATAACAATGGAAAATGCACAACATGAGGAAAGATAAGGAGAAAAAAATAACTCCCCCCAGACTGAGCTCCAACAGGGAGATCAGTTTGAGAACAGAAAAAAACACCTCAGCACATGTTATTCTTTTGCCTGCAGCGTGAACATGTGTGGGTTAAGTAAGAAAGTAGCCTTTTGGCAATTTACCAATCCAGTAAAAAAATTTAAGTTGCGTGGACAACAACGTGCCCAATAACAGCTTATGTCTTAACTTAATGTGATTAACTTGAGCACAGCCTTTTTGCTAAAATAAATGTACAGGTTTCATTTAACTTACCTCTACATGCTTGCGCAGGTTTGATGTGGAATTTTTAAAAGCTGCTAACTCGGTCTCTCTGGGCAAACACAGCTTACACTGCATAATAAAGCTGTTGCCTTTCTTGCACTTGAAGCCGAAATGGTCCCTTAAATACGGCCAGGGGTTCTTCGAGTTCAGGGTCAGCAGAATTCGACGGGGTTTCTTTTTTCGCTGGATCCGTACCACCGATGTCAGACTCCATCTTTATCGTGACCCAACGCCAATTTGTTCTACTACCCATCATTCCCTGCAGTATTTCCGAAGCGCAATGTTGGGTTTTTTTTGTTTGTTCTTTTAATTTACTCAGTAACGGGTGTGATTGAAAATGTAGCGAAGTACAATACTTTTTAAAAAATATACTTAAGTAAAAGTAAAATTACCGACTTGAAAAATGACTTTAAAAAGTACAAATACACAAAAAAACTACTCAATTACAGTAACGCAAGTAAATGTAATTCGTTACTTTCCACCTTTGGTGCTTAATATACATAATGAGTTAAGATCAAAAGTATTTGCAATTGATTGATTAATTATAATCTGTATGCAACATGCACCAGATCTGGCTGGGTTTTAGGGAATCAAATACCCATTTTACTCGATGGCATCCAAATCAATTTAGATGTTTTATATAATGTGGGTTTTTTTTCTAGATTTGTGATTGATATTCTGTCTTTCCACTAAAATTAAACAGTCATACAATTAGAGACTGTTAATTTCTTTTATTCATTCAGCAGAGAATGAAATAATTATTTCTTCTTAATGTATTCACCTTGATTGTGTATAGACATTTTACTTGATTTTTTCTCTCATTGTAGAAGCATCGAAATTTAGCAAAAAAGACAATGAATATTTACAATAAACAAATAAATAAATAAACAATCATGATGATTCCTATAGTTATTCTGGCCCAATTTTATATCGTTGTAGAGGCAGCAAAATGTGGCGGAAATGGCCAATTACACAATATGAAGACCATTATCAAGAGCCATGTACGCTCAAATAAGGAAATGTATGAGGAAGCAAAAAATGCCATGTTGGAGAAGGTGGATGCTTTAAAGGTTCGTCACATTTTAAAATGTATGTTATGTAGTCGTTGCTATTTTTTCCTGTTCTTTTTTTGTCTTGTTTTATTTTGTTTCTGGCTGTTTTTGACCTGTTAGTCTCTGCTGAAAGCAATAAAGTTTTTGATGTTCAATTAGAGAACCATCCTGGAGGATCTGGAGAAAGCCATGACAGAATCCATTGAATTTTCTCTCAGGACTGACAACAACTCACTCCCAGGTAAACAAAATATGTTAAAGTATATAATTATTACTGAGCATTAAGTATCTCCACATCGTTAACGATAAATATATATACAGAATGATAATGCTTTATTTTGTTTTAACCTTTATTTATTTATTTTTTTAGATGTTTCAGAAGAGCTAGAGAGAGTGACAAAACATCATGATGAACTTTTAAGCAGTCAACATTAAAAAATGTAACTGGGTAAATACTGATAAAATGTTTTTGTGCTAAATAATGTGAACTGATCCACCCAGCAGTTGCTCTAAATCCATGGTGTATATACGGCTCCATTTTAGTGAAGCTGACTTTTTGTGAAGAACACAAAAACAACACTAGTGTGAACATTTTTTATGAACACGTCTTAGGCAAATTTTAGGGGGATTTTACTGTTGGTCCTCAATGGCTGAGCATTTATCTCTCTGATTATTTCAAAAAATTTATTTCTGATATTTCAGGTCACCCGTGATATCTTCAGTCACATTTTTCAAGTTGCTTTGTGTTCTCTCTTTGAATGTTATGCTGATGCTTACTTTTGACTTTCAATCAAGTCTTTACATCTGAAGTCATTAGCTGTTTCCGGATACAAACTCTGCTTCAGGTCCAATTCATTAAGGCACTTGTGTTTTAACATGTTTTCATGCTTTGTATCTTGTTCTATTTAATCTGAACAAACCCCTGAAAAAAGTCGATGGTCATTGTTGCCGTCTCTGGGTTTTATTAGCCCTATTCATCTCAGTTTTTAAACCCTTACCATGTAACTACAGCCCAGCCCAAGCAGCAGTAGAATGACTAACCTCGTATTGTGGATGGATTATCTCAGTTGTTCTCCTGACTGAAGTTTGGTCCGTTTACAGCATCCTGCCATGCAATTGTATTTGTCCCTAACCACCAGAAACCCTCACTTAACTTTTATCGAGTGGAAAAAAGTTAGCGTTCATCCTCCAGCTTCACTGTGCTAATGTTTTTATAGTATGCTAACCATAGCTGTGTAGCTAGCCACCACGTCGCACATCATCATATACCAGCTATCCCAACTTCAGTAACGCTATAAAGGTCACTAATGTTTAGTTTTCTGTCTTGATTTATGTCGGAAGTAGTAGCAGAGCTCTACGTTTTAATTTTTCAGAAATCCCTCAGTCAGAACATGCTATATTCTTTAGATGGAAATTAGTGAGCTAACTTCGAACTTCCTGCTAACTTCAAACTCTGTTAAACTTCATAAATGCTGTTTTCATGGATGTCTGGATGTTAAACTGCTTTGTCATACTTAGTAGAGCAGCCACACTGATAATTTTAGTAAAGATGAAAGAATATAGACAGTTTTAACTCTCAGTATTGCCACAGTGTTTGTTTGGACCCAGAAACAGGGTTCATATGCCATCGCTTAACAACACTCATATAAAGAGATACTTAGATAGTAATTCAAACCAGCAGTGGCAAGGTTTTAATCATAAAGAACTAAAACAAAATGGAAATACTGTATCTAAAATCTGATTGCTTTTTTGCTTTTGTAGTGGTAGTAGCTTTTTAATTAGTTGTGGACTTGAGGTAGATAGAAAATTAGAGAGAAATGAAAAGGTAAAAGGATTACGATGCAAACATTCTTGGTTCATGTCAACCAGGGATATTTGCATTGTATTTCTGTTGTGGTTTTAATTTTAAGGGTCTAAACCAAAAGAAGATCCAGAGCTTCATGATTTTAATTATTTCATTTACTTCCTATACTGTGTTTAAATATGTTATGTTTAGTTTTGCTTTATTAGGTGGGTACTTTATTTTTTTTAGGTATTTGGATTTAACTTTGTGAACAAGAATGACAATTTCAATTTGTAATACAAATATATCTTTTCTGCAATACAGACTTTGAGTATCATATGATTAATAAAACGGTAGCAAATAACTACTATCAACTTTTACTTAAGCTACAATATCATTTTGAATTTTGTTGTTACTAATCTATACTAATTCTAAATGTATGCATGTGCTTCGTTTTTGTATTGCTGTTATAATAAAATATAACTTGAGTTTAAAAGCATGTGTAGTCACAAGAACCGTTTTTTCTAATCCCATGAACATGAAAAAGGCATGTTTTATATTCATGCAAAAACATCCTTGTTGTAATGTAGTGGAAAGTGGCATGGTGGAATAATAGAGAGAATCTCCCAACAAACATTGGATGCATTATTTTCTATTTTAATTATTGCAAGCTTTTGTTTTTTGTGTGAGATATAGGCTACACCCATGTGGGAGTGGACATTTCACTCTAGTCTAGCTGCCAGCTATTTGAAGATGAATACAGGGAGTAGTTGATTGGTGATGATTTCAGCTCTTCTATTTAAAGGGGAGAGAAAAGAAGATTCAAGAGAGAGAAAATGGGAAGAAAGGAGGTTGCGGGACACAGTTGCAGTAGGTTGAAGCTGGTTAAAATTGGAGAAAATGGCCTTTAAAATGTCCTGGACTGGTTTTACATTTAAAATAATCAGATAATTACGGTGGCCCTGAGAGGCCAAACGGACTGCAACTTCAGAAAGCACTTGCAAAAAGAAAAATGCTGCAAAAAGAAAAACGCTGCAAAAAGAAAAACGCTGCAAAAGCACACAAAGCACAACGGAAATAGGAAAAAAGACAACGGAAATAGGAAAAAAGACAACGGAAATAGGAAAAAAGACAACGGAAATGTTTCTGGGGAGACAATAACCGGACGGACCAGTTGCACGAACCAAAACATGCTAACAAGTGCACTGGGACTGGGAGACACTTCAAAGAAGTGGAGCGGCCAAAGAGTAAACTTTCAAAAGTAAGTTCTGAATATTATGTCACTTATTTATGTGCAAATGTTAGCCGTTAGATAGTCGACCTTAATCTTACAGAGAATGTGATGATTTTGTGGATAATTAAAGTCAGTCATATATCCACAAACACAACAGGCTGAAAGTCAGTGATGCTGCTCAGTTTGCAGTCCTGAATATCACGGCACAAGCAGGATTCACTGCACTGTTAATGTTAGCTATGTTATATTGCTGCCTCTGTTCGGTGGTGTCGAGCCAAACGGACTTTAACGTGTGTTTGAACGAGCTGACGGTTCACTCGTTAAGCTGAAAGAAAGATGCTTTAATCACAGCAGTCACACATGTGTCCACTGCACCATCTGGGAACTCTTCTTGTTTAGCACTCGTAATAACACAAACACTAAATCCTCCTGTTTGTAGCAGTGTATACAGCTGAGACTGTCACCTGTCTGTCTGTCCTGCACTCTCTCTCTGTTTCTTTCTCTCTGATTGTGGAATAAAAGTATGAACATGTGTTTATAAGTTACACTTGTGTTTGAATCCTGCAGCTTATCACACATTTGATTTCCATGTGTGACAACTGCAAGTGTCCAGAGTGAGGACAGACTGAGGGACCCACTGCTGCACATCATCTGTGAGGCTTTGCACCCCTGATGATCCACCGAACTCAACAGTGTGTGAGGAAGAGGAGGAGGAAGAGCCAGCAGCAGCTGACAGATGGAGAGAATAGACAGACTGTTCCCTGTTTGTGAAGGACTGCTAGGAAAGTTTAACATAACTGTCTGTCCTGAATCAGTCTTATTAGGTAATGTTCAAATAATTTTATCATTCCAGTGTTTTCAGTGTGGGAGAAAGTACTCAGGGCCTTCAAGTTACACACTATGAAAGGCAGCAACAAGTGTAATATTCAGAAACCTAAAGTATGTATCAGCAGCAGAATGGAGCTAAAAATAAATGTTTGTTTCAGTTCTATGAAGCTTTGAGTATTTTGGATTAGTAGCACTGCTGTGTTTGTTGCATCATATTGCTGTAATTGTTTATATGCTTTATATATTCTGAGGTAAGTTGATCTATAGTGTTACATCATATTCTATAAGGATGTTATGTGTTTGTAGACTTTCTGCCCAGTTTGACCCATTTAACAGAAGTCAGCCTGTTTAAGGCTCTGATATCTATTCTGTATGACTTAAAGCAGTTATGACATGGTCTGATTTTCTCACCCAATAAAGGAATATTTCATATATCAGTCTACTCTTCATTTTATCAGAAACAGTTTTCACAGCTCGTACATTTTCTTTTTACACATATATGTAAGCATTGAGCCAAATTTAGTAATGCCAACATATTAAAAGAACAATATTTGTCTCTTATATATAATACATCTATATATACACTGTCACAGATACTTGTGTTTAAGTGAAGATTTAAGGTGATAGGAAATATAAATAAATGCAACTTGAATCTTTACTGAAGCTCAGTGTTTGGCACAGAGTTCATGTTCACTGCTGTAATAACTAATAATGATTAATATAATATTGGCCATATTATATTTACATTACCAAAGTGAGATGACTTTAGTCTCATGAACAAGATTAGCTAATTGTTATTTACTAGCTAATCTTAAATGACTGTTCAGTACAAAAATGAAGCCCAACAATCATGTTTTACAGTCCTGTGGTCTCAGCCTCAGATACTTATCAAATCACACAAAGCTCATGTAGAAACAAATGTACAAAATATGTTCTCCTTCATTTCTGTCAAACAAAGCTGTATGAAACGTTTCCAGCTGTTAGTATCATGGTTGCTAGGCAACCTGGGCAGCGCGACGGAGGCTAGACCGTCCCATTTCACAAGCCTACAAGCCTCGCACTTCCGGCCTCAGCAGTCTTTGAGTGCGGCCCTTGAGGACCGTTAAGGCTGCGTACTTTAAGGCTGCAGACCCTGAATTGGGAAACAGTCCCTGAATTGGGATACAGCCATACATACATGTTTTGGTTCGTGCAACTGGTCCGTTCGGTTATTGTCTCCCCAGAAACATTTCCGTTGTCTTTTTTCCTATTTCCGTTGTGCTTTGTGTGCTTTTGCAGCATTTTTCTTTTTGCAGCATTTTTCTTTTTGCAGCGTTTTTCTTTTTGCAGCATTTTTCTTTTTGCAGCGTTTTTCTTTTTGCAGCATTTTTCTTTTTGCAAGTGTTTTCTGAAGTTGCAGTCCGTTTGGCCTCTCAGGGCCACCGTAGAATCTACTGGACAATTTTTTAATTAGGATTTATGTGGATTTGTTTTGATAAAAGACTGGATTACAAACTGATGGGTATGCTGGAACTTATTCATTTCTTGTCCTGGGGCCTTCTTGTTGGTCACTTATCAGTAGCTGGGGTTTGAGATTCCATGGAAACGTCTTTGGGATTCTCCTTGATAAAGGAAAGGATAAGCCAAACCTTAACCTGATCACCTTCTTAACCTAAGGAGATCCTATGGGTTTTTATTGTGCCACTGAAGCATACAACTTAATCTTATTTGTTTAATTCAAGAGCACAGATGAACCTGTCTTGATGCTGACTTATCAGACTAAAGCTAGCTAACTCATTATAATCCGGAGAAAGGCTGAGCTTTAGGAACAAGCTAAAGAAAGCCTAAACTTTTACACATCCCAGAGATATTTTCTCGCCTTAACAGTTTAATAAAACGATAACAAAATAACGCTGAAAACCGATAAAAACCCTGAAAACCATACATTTCACACCTGAGCCTCAACTCTTGCGGCCCGGTACCAAACGAGCCCTCTATAGCTCCCACTTCATGTTCACAACATCAAGCACCTGACTCCCACCATAGTTCGCGGTTCATGTCCAGAACTCTAAGTAAAAATGTTCTGATTGTTATTAAAGCTTTGTCATTAAGTCTAACTCAGTGCCTCTGTCTGTATTTGCATTTGGGACCACTTGGATCCTGGCTGCCCTGCTGAAGTTTTTCAGAAATGAAAGAAATATAAAACGGCCATTAACCACACTCACTCTGAAGCTCCATGCAAAATCTTGCCTGGTGCACCAGCCCAAAACTGCAGAGGCACATGTTGATGGAAGCTTTGGGACCATAGTCACCAAGAACAGCATTAGTAACACACTAAGGTGTAATGGACTGAAGTCTTGCAGTGCTCACAAGGCCCTCCAGCTCTAGAAGACATATGCACAGGCCCATCTCAAATTTGCCAGTGAACATCTAAATGAATCAGAGAATACTTGGGAGAATAGGCTGTGGTCAGATAAAACCAAAATAGAGCTCGTTGGCATTAAATTCAACCTATCATGTTTGGAGGAAGAGAAGCGTTGAGTATGACCCACAGTCAGGCATGGCAGTAGAAACATTGTACTTTGGGGCTGTTTTTCTGCTAAGGGTACAGTACAGCTTCACTACACTAAGAAGGCAATGAACAGATGGGATAATGTACAGAAAACTCTTGGACTAAAACCTGAAGCTTGGAGTTCCCAAGCTGCAGTCAAGAAATGTAGAGGATTTAAGGAGTTTCATTTTAAAGGTGAGTTGAGAAGATGTCTTACTGCTGTGCTTGCCAACAAAGGTTCCTTAATAAGTGATGTTTGGCTTGGGGATTAACCACATATTTCATTGAATGACATGCAAATCAATTTACAAATTTTATGTTATTTTATTTTTTCATGGATTTGTGGTTGATATTCTGTCTCTCTACATTATAATAAAACTGATATAAAATATAGGTAGTTCATTTTATTGTAATAAAAAAAAACTTACAAGTAAAAAGAGATTATATCATGAAATGTTTAAGTAGTGATACATTGACCTCCTTTCTTACCTTCATAGCATTCTTTCATCTTTGTCTCAATTGTCTCCAACAGACTATTGTAGATCATTTTCTTTTCTATCCGGATGGTTTCGTTGAGTTTCTCCTTAATTTTTTCTTCCTTAAAAACATAAAAATGGATTAAAATGAGTTTAAAAAATCATTAAAATAAAAAAAAAAAACAAAAAACAAATCAAGGCTATTTTGGGAGTATTTAGGTTCATCTGTTGACTATTCTGTTTAAAAGGAGAGTTTAGACTTTTACCTCCATCTTGAGAAAATCCAGTTGTAGTTTTAGATCTTTGCACTCAGTAGTCAGTAAATCGGTTCCAAGCGAAAATGCACTAATGGATCCATTGAATGGTCTGAAATATGTTAAATCACTTCAGAATGACAGTATTGAGATGTTTATTAAAAAAAAGATGTAACTTATATGAATGTATACCCCCCGGTCTGGGGTGCTGGCCGGGCCTTGGGAGCTTGGGTCCTGGCTGTTGTGTCGCCGGAGCAGTGGGCGGGTGGGTGCAGAGGGGCTCAGCCCCAGTGCAGGGGACCTCTGGTGCATCGGCCCTACTAGGGGGCTCTCTAACTGGTGGGGAGGTTGTTATATCTTGCAGGTGGTCTCCTCACTACAGGAGCTCACTCTGCAGGTGGGGGGAGAGATATAGGAGAGGTGGAGAATGAACTCAACCTGGGTGTCTATTGTCTTGTGTAGTTTGGGAGTTGATTGGATGATGGGGTGGGTGCAGTTTTCTCTGGGGTGGAGTCGGGTGGGCTGCCCCGGACTCTGTGGGGCTGGGCGGTGCTGCTGCTGCGGGCCCTGGTCCGGATGGGCCTGGGCCCCCTTGCCCTGGTGGGTTCCAGAGTGTGGGGGTGCCTACTGGGGTCAGCGGGGGAGCTGGCCCCAGGGAGGGGCCGCTTGCCCCTCCCTTTCTTCCCTCCCCATCCTCAGCTGCCTCCCTATTCCCGCTCTACCACACCCACCCACACACGCAGGGCTTGGGGTGCAGGTATGTCACCAGGGTGCAGGGGAGGCACTCCCCCTCTGTCCCCTTCTGGCCGCCTGTGCCTCAATTTTATTCTGCAACCTAGACATCCACATTACTCACACTCTCACATAACACATACATATAGGGCCTTGGGGGTGGGCACGTTTTACAGCATCCAGAGGATGGTCGGTGTACTCCAACCCGGTGTACTCGGGCGTAGGGAGGTTTGGTCTTCACTCACCCCGGTTCTGTTAGCCGTCAGGGCTGGGGGGCTGGGAGGAGGTGCTGGCTGTCAGACTGGGGTCTGGGATGCGGGGCCTCCCTGCTACTGCAGATAAGGAGGTGGTCCGCTTGCCTCCACCCCAGAGAGAAGGGTTACATCTCCTGGGTCTAGGTGCGGCTTGCCCCTCTGAGGGCGGGGGTACCTGGACCTGGGATATAGAGTATGTTTGGGGAGTGCGACTGTCTGTGCAGTGTCTATTTGTGTCTGTCTACACGTTGGGTGAGTGCCGAGTATTTGGTTGTGCATATGGGGTGGGAATGCACGTCTGTGTCCGCGTGTGCCTGTTCGTCTGTGTCTATATGTCAGGTTGGGTCTTAGACTCAACCTCTCTGGGTACATCTCAGGCCCTCTAAAGTACGGAGGCCTATCTCCCCTCACCACACTCCCTGCCGGTGGCTGATGCCCTCAGACGTTGGTGTGTTGGTGGTCCTTGTCGTCTGGGGCTGGGCGCTCATGTATGTACCGGCTCACTCCTGGTGGCCGATTGGCGGGGCCGGGCGCCTGTGGCCCGGCTGGGCTCCTTCCGGGGGGTGGGATGCCCTCAGGCCTCTGGGCCTGAAGCTCGGTCCTCTCTGGCACAGCTGGCTGCCGGCAGAGCCCGCGGGCACGCCACTGCAACCCCCTCTGGCCTCTGCTCCGTAGCTGCGGGGTGACCTCTCCTTTGGGGCTCTACTCAGCTCTTCCCAGGAGGGTGGCACGGTTCCCCCCCCTTTGGTGGTCCTCCTCGGGTCCTTGTACTCTGGGGCCTCTGGATATCTGGGGCCTGGATCTCCTCCATACCTGCTTCATACCCTGGTGGACGGGGCTATGGCTCCCCACACTCCCTAGCAGATCGTTACATGGAGAAACCTTTGGAATACAAGCATGCTGATCCACACAGGTGTGCACACAGGTGTACACACGGGTGTTCACAGACGCGGACTACACCTTCATTGTGCGCTGTCTATCTTGCGTGCTGCACAATATCGTTTATTATTTAGTATCTACTGTTATCTACTGCTAGCTAGTTTATTGTGATGGTGCTGTTTTTTTTATTATGTTGCTCTTTGTTGTTTGCTTTCTCTTCTGTTTTTTTTCTCCATACAGGTGACCCAGGTGTTTTGTTGTTTTTTTGTTTGTTTTTTCTTTCTTCCCCCCCTTCTCACCGTCTCTTCTCCCCTTTGGTTTTCTTTCTCTCCCTCTCTTTCTTTCATTCTTTCTCCCTGTCCTATCCCCCAGTCATGTCTGTCCCGTTTGTAGCAACTGAAAATAAAATAAATTCATAATTATAATAAAGGTCAATCAAATGGACCAATATGGCAAGGCCATGATGATCCACTTGGTAAAATAAATCCGCTTGGCATCTTTCTTGGCCTTAAGACAACAATTCTGATGGCTAAAGATCCAAACGGGACACAAAAAACAAAAAAAAAATGTATATGTATATTTTTGTGTAATAGTACTAGTAAGTATTTTGTTTTTTCTCCATGCTTGAAAGATGGACAAGTTTTAAGCCCATATTAGGTCCTTCTTTTTTCTGTTTTTTGTATTGTACTTGTATGCTAAACACCAGAGAAATGGTCAAAGACTTTGAGGTTAAACAAAACTAAATGCAAATAAGACTAGATAAATAAGAATAATTTAACTTAAAATGTGTTTTTGCGTGTAGTGTATATTTACTTGTATGTAACTGCAGGATTGATTCGTATAGTGTCAGACCAGGAGGCACACCTGATGGGAGAGAAAACAAGGGGAAAATTTTAAAAAAGTGCCAAAATAATCATATTGTTGTTACAGGCATTATTCTTTCCATCATCATCATCACAACTCCAAATAAATCAGGCAGGAAAAGTACTGTCACGCACAACAGTATAGTGAGGAGAGAACACATGTTGGATGGGTGGCAAGGTTAGTCATGGCACTTGAACAATATATAAATATGTATATGTATATATTTTTTAAATTTTCTTTGAATCAAGAATAAATGTACATCACGTAGGTATAAATTTTGTGCCCAGTTTTAAACCAAATTTTGAGTTGTTGTCTTAATTCTTATTGTCTGTAGATATTTTCCTTTGTTTAATTTTGGTTCTTTATGAGTCTTGTCACGATCCCTGTAGGGAGCTTCCTCAAAAGGGTTGATCCCTTCAAAATTAGGATTAGGGGTAACAGTTTAACCCTTTAAGACCTACCATAGAACCAAGTCCGCCAGAGCTTATATTATATTTTTACATGCTGTGGAGCCATTTTTGGGAGCATTTCAAGTTGCTATACATCAATACAACCATTATAGCCCAGATTTTAATAATATGTATTCATTAAGTGCATAGTAATTACATAAATTGCAAAAAAGTGCAATAAACTACAAAAAAATTGAAAATCGTTTTTGTTTTTTTAACATATATTTCTAGTTAGAGAAATTTAAGAGGCTTATCCCTCAAAACTGTAAATACAAAAAAGTTGCACAAAATAGTTTCCCACCACAGGAAATTTATTTTGAGTGTCTTCATAGTTTTATTTTTGAAATACACCAATTTTTATACACTGCAGGAAAAACGAAAATAAATATTATACTGCAAATTTGCAAAAAAGCAGCATATGCATCAAAATAAACTATTTCCAGCAGTGCAATATGAGTCCTAAGCATCCCAGAAACGACACAGAAAGTCATAAAGTCAAAGATAACTTTTAAAAAGACCAGTATAGGCCCTGAGGCCCTGATGGTAAAAAAGACTACATTTCCGCGAAAATGACGTCACTTCCGGTTTCGGGCAGGTAATGGCGGAAATGCAAAAGTTCGCGCTGACGTCTATTCCAACGTAGGAAGTGTTATGAACAGCTGATCGGATCGGCAAAGCGTGTTTCTGGGATATTATGTTTTTGTTCCTGCAGTTTTTGCAAAGCTTTATGTGGAAGGAAACCGTGACCTAGGACAAGCTGATGGCATAAGATGTAAGTACAACTCCTCCGGTTTCATATGCAAAAAAAATTTTTGCGCTAGCTTACGTGATAGCAGAGCTACCGGGATTTAAAAATAGTTACGTAAAACAGAGCGTGCCCGCTCCGACCGGCTCTAAAGGGTTAATAAACCATATTATTATCTACCATTTATAGTACCATTGTTAACACTATGATCATCTTTTCCATTAATAAAAAGAAATTGAAGAAGGTATAAATATACAGGATTCTTACGGGAAGATCTTGCTGAATTTTTCATCAATGCTGTTAGTCAGGTATGAAGCTAATTCCACGTTGAAGTTTATTTCTTTCCTTGTTTTGTGGACGCCACCTCCCAAAACAACAGACTTTAATGTCCTGTGAAAACCACGGCCATCCTCTTTCTGAAACAAAACAGAAAACAAATTCCTGAACATAAGGCCATTTGAAAGGCAAAATCAGTAGTTTTAATGCAGTCTTTAAAATAAATACATACGTCCAATAACTTCGTCAATTTGTTTTCATCTTCTTTTTTGGAGTTTTCAACCCCCTTGCTAAGGCATTTTTCAAAGGTCTTGTAGACCTCTTCTATTTCTTTCTTGATTTGTTCATATTTGCATCCCAGAGTGTTTTTAAGTTCTGCACACACATTTTCGTTTTTATCACCCTGAAAATAAAAACATAATAGAAAAACAAAATTATAAATGCCAATACCTGATGGAAAATGCAGTTCTAGATTCAGTGTCAGTAAACTTATTTTAAGGTTTTTTTGTTTTGTTTTTTTTAGAAAAAAGTAAATAAAAAATACAAAAGCTTTCAGTGAAAATTTATATATATATATCTTTTATTACTTATTAACCTTTGCTTTTGATAGGTAATACAAATAGAAGAATTTTATTACTTGAGTATCTTACTGCTTTTTTGTGTTTGGCATCTTGAATCAGAGACAGAATCGTAAAAGCTCCAGACACATAATTTTTTGTCTCTGAGTGAAGGTTGTTGAGCTCTTTCAGAAGTTTTTGAAGTTTGGGTATTTCTGTTGATAATAATTGAATAATTCATTTTAACATTAATTGTAATAAAAATAGCCATTATTTGAAATTAAACTAGACTACAACAGCAGCATTTGATATCTGCTTTATGTCTAGTACATGCTCATATCAGGGAACTTCACCTACCAGTTTCTTCTGGATCTAGATGCTCTTTTTGTAGGAACTCACGGGAGCTCACTGTGAACACTTCGAAACAGTTATCACTGAAGGGTTTCTGGAGAAAATTGAATACATTTTAAAGCTTTCTTGCTATTGTTTTTGGGTTAGATTTTCACTCTACCTATAAAACTCACCTTCTTATTTTTTATTTTTTGCTTTACTTGTTCCTTGGCTTGTGTGTTTCTGTTAACTATGAGTTTATGGACTTCACCTGGCAAACTATAAGAATACATGTGTGTTACCCAGCATTAAATCACTGAGAGAAATGCCAGCACATTCTTGTTGGTGATTGATATACTATTTTTCCTAAAACTTTATAGACCCTGTACAAAGGCTATCATGCCACTGTCTGCCTCCATGCCTCTTTCTTCACTTTTTTCTCTTTTACCTCTCATTGCTCTCCAGCTGTTCCTCACCCTTGTCTTTCTTTCTCTCACTGAGTGTAATGGGAAGGCCACTATGAGGTTTTGGTGGCATGACCCCAGTCAGCTCTTGGCTGGTACACCTGCCTCCAATCTATGTAATGTGGTAGTCAAACTCAAAAATCTCTGTTTTCCATGTCCTGGGCTCCCCTCAGTTAGCCAGACAGTCTGTTGCATATCTCTGTCACTCTCTTTGAATCAGACTTTCCCTTTGTAATCCATTCTCTGAGATTTTTTTAAGGAAATGTTTCCCTGCACTGCCATTGCTAACTTAACTCTCTTCTTGCCAAGGAATTCTCCACCCACTGGTTCAATAAACGTGCTAAACTTGTACCTGCCTCTGAGTCTGCTCAGTATTAATATTCATGTTTTTGAGATTTGTCTCATCTTTAAGGAATTACCCTGCACCTAGATACAACATGCTTTACTATCTAATTTATTTTCTTCTTCTTCTTCTTTTTTTTTTTAAATTCTTGACATCTTAATTTACTTACCGGCTATGTGAAATTCCAGTTACATCAGACTTGGAGCAAATAAAGCAAATACGCTGGCACTCGCCACCATTTCCAATGAACCTACTGACACGGCTCAAGATTTTCCAGGCTGTCTCTTTAGATGCTGCTCTTTTAATCTCAGTCACAATCCACACAACGCAACAATCACCAACAATCTGAAATGGAATAATAGTCATATTAACAATTAATCGTTAATCATCAATTCTTGACAAGATGCCATTTCTGGTTCAAGATAACAAAGCAGTAAAAGTGAATAAATGACCCTTTTCCACATTTCATCTCTGCTCTTGTTACAGTCACCACTTCCAGGAAGGTCCACAAGTGTGACATGCTGGAGAAGATCCTTGTTTGGCACCTTGACAGTCACACACTTCACTATTGGCCAATAGTACCTCTTTCCTTTTTTGCTCTGAGAAGGTAAGGGGCTATTCATTGTGTATGGGGTAAGTTTGCCAGATAAGTCCATAGCCTGCAATAAAAAAAGACATGAATGTATAGTGCCCCTTCAACATCACAATAACCAGGCTAACTGGTTAGAAATCCTGTAGAAATCCCAGAGAATGTCAGAGTGTTAGTATTTTTCAACAACAGGTCCTGAAACTATGTCTATAATCAAGTACTGCACTAATTGTAATGAAGATTTAGTTTCTGAAATTGAGTATGAGTTTCCAAATGCAGAGCACCACTGTAAGTTAACCCAACACTTATCACCTTGAATTGTTTAAATATCCTGTCTAGGAAGTAAACCAGATTTTGCACAGCCAATGCTATCGTCAAGATAACGTCATAGTGATAATTTCCAACAATAAAACAGTCAAACAAAAATCTTCACTTAATAAACATTCCTTTTCTAATGCTGTTAGAGTCAAATTGTTGAATGTTGTCATTGTGTTTCTTAAATTTGTAAAGTCTTAGTTTAAACTGTGTGATCAACGACATTCCTTTGTCTGGACATTCCAGCCTGTTAAGGGTTTGGGGGGGGGAAGCTGTAGTGTTTTATCACAGATACATCCCATGTGAAGGTTCTGTTTGATGTTTGGTAAGCTTCCTGCCCTTTTATGGCTTCACCTGTGTTGTGTATGGTGAACCAATACAGGAATTGAGCCACATATTGGGTGTGGGGGAGATTACCCTCTTTATGACCAAGGATGTTGTTAAAAACAGTTGTGATCAGGAGAACACACACACACACACACACACACACACACATAGTGCCTTATCTTTGTAACCAAGGGAGGTTTTACGGTGGGAGGTGCTTGTGTTGTGTTATGTTGTGTAAATTGTAATGGAAATAAAAAGGCTACGAGGAGGGCTGCTCTTTGAAGGACTTGGACCAAGAAGGACTGACCAAGCTTCCCTCGTTAGCGAGTAAAGGACTGGTTGAAGATGTATTGTGTTGTTTTCGTTCTTCATGAGGAATAAGTCTCTAAACTAGTGGGGCCTGTGGAAACACAGACTCAACAAATGCCAGTGTGGTATATCAGGATTATTGTGGGAGGTTGACCAGTCTGATTACAGTAGATATTTAAAAATAGGTTCTTATGTGCATATACACTTTTAGTATAATTTCTAAACCGTTTAATCCACAAGACTCTAGAAGTCAAAAGCAAAGTAAAATTAAGTGATGTTTAAAAGTGATTTTTAAAAAAGCTGTCAAAAAACACTGAACATTAATGAAGTAACATAAATTAGATATATGAAAAGTCACAGAAAATAAAACAGAAAATGAAATTGCTAGTACTAGCCAAACAAAATCAAGTTAAAGCACAAGGTAAAATAATTACTTTAAGAACAGTAAATATATACATATTATCTAATAACTAACTTTGAGGGTTTGGGCAGATAGAAACTGGCTCTGTTGTTTTTTGTTTGTTTTTGGATTTTTTGTTTGCTGGTTTATTTTCTCTGTGTGCTCTCAGGGCAGAGGTGAGGTATACACCCAGTTGCATTGGATCCCCCTCAATAAGACAGCATACCTAAGAGGTAGTCTGTGGGGCAGTTCTTCACCTGATTATTAGCTTATTAGCCTCCTAACTGAGTTCTATGTTATAAATTATTTTTATCTGTGATTCCTCCAGTTATCTAACTATAGGGAGAGAGATAGAGAGAGAAAGAGAGAGACAGAGAGAGTTTTTGACTTACAGTTTTACACGTGAAAGTCTTCGTCCCAGACTTAAGAAGATCATGAATGTCACTGAAACATTTTTTCTCCGTTAGGTCTTGAAGTGAATTTTTTTTCCATTCTTCCCCGTACAGTGCTGACAGTTTGTTCTCAATGTAATCATTAATGTCATCATCATCATCATCATCATCATCATCATCATCATCAGCTGTTTCTTCATTGTTTTTATCTCCAGCTGACTGATGCAAATACCACAACTCATCGTTCCACTCCTAAAATACAACAACAATAATAATAACACTGGTTTTATTAAATAGAATTTATTGCAACTACAAACTGTCTTTTTGCAGTCGTAATGAGGCTCTTGGATTAGCATATTAATTAGCTCCAAGTAACAATAAACATATGACTTTACCTCTGTTTTAAGGAACTCAATGAGTGCCTGATACTTGTCGTCCACTGAGGCCTCCACCTTTATGATGACTGAGGTGCATGCACTGGTACATTCATCAGAAGAGGGCAAAAGATTTTCCTCATCAATGATTGCATTTATCAAAGAGGATTTTCCGGCCCCGGTTTCACCAAAAACACCGATTTGTACCCTCTTGTCTTTGTCCAATTCTGTTATTTTTTTCCTAAAGAACAAGAATAAACATGGGTTAATCAAATCAAATAAATACATCAAAAATGTAAATATCAATGTAATAACTAATTTTAAAATGTATATAGTAGAATAATAGCTATGCTTATAATGTGAAAACAATTGTAACAACGTTCATGAGAAAAAAAACCAATTTGTAATAGTATAGAAATATTTTGGTAACAGTATGAAAAACTGCTACAAGTAAAATTGCATTAGCTGTGCAGTATTTGGAATTTGGAGTAGTGCCTTAGTAGCCTGTTAACAATAAGGTAATTAAATTTATATGTTTACTTTTTTATTTTGGATACTATAAGCACATTATAATGCTGAAATAATCATTAATAATTCATTTTGTATTTTGGTAATAATGGCAATAAAATAGTAATTAACTGTAATGATGTAAATCAGGGGTTTTTGACTCTGAGCTTGGTTTTATCCCACATGTTAAACATGTAACCAAAATTGGATTTTATCATCTAAAAAATATAGCCAGAGTCCGCCCTATTCTCTCTCGGGCCAACACGGAGATGCTGATGCATGCTTTTATTACCAGTCGCATTGATTACTGTAATGCCCTGCTCTCTGGTCTTCCTAAGAAGAATATTTCAACTTTACAACTTTTGCAAAACTCGGCAGCTCGTGTGCTGACGAAGACCAGAGGGCGGGCCCACATTACACCGGTTTTAGAATCGCTGCACTGGCTCCCCGTGTGTTTCAGGATCGATTTTAAAGTTCTTTTATTGGTTTTTAAATGTCTTAATGGTCTTGGGCCTTCTTATCTCTCAGATCTGCTTTTACCATACGAACCCTCGCGGACCCTGAGGTCCTCTGGTACTGGCCTTTTGATTGTCCCTAAAGTCAGGACACATACTCACGGAGAGGCAGCTTTTCAGTGGTATGGTCCTCGTCTGTGGAACAGCCTGCCGGAGGAGCTCAGGGCCGCAGAGAACGTACATGTTTTTAAGAACAGGCTCAAGACCCACCTTTTTAATTTAGCTTTTACTTAGCGTTTATTTATTTTATGCTTATTTATTCTATCCTGTTATTCTATTATTAATTTAGGATTTACCTAATATTTGCTTGATTTTATTCTTATTCATTTTTTAATCTTCTTATTCTATTTATATTTATATTGTATCCTGTTCTTATTTATTTTATCATTTTACCCTATATATATCGTATTGCATCATATCTCCAGTGTTTCCTCGGAGGGCGCTCTCTGCACCGGGGCTGTGATTGACCGTGGCTGCTGGGTCTCTGGGGTCCTCTCAGCCTGGCTGGGGGGCTCCTTTGCCTCCCTCCTGCTGTGTGCCCAGCCTGGAGGCTGCGGTCTGTGACCGGCTCCCGGTGCAGACGGCTCCCTGTTATAGTGTTTCCTCACTTGGCTCATGCGAGTCCAGCCCAATTTTTACTCTTTAAGTGTGCGCGTGTGTGTGGTGGGGGTGGGGGGATATATGTGTATTGAGAGTGTGGGGAGTGAGTTGGAGGGTGGGGTGGGCTGCTTTTAACTATGTAAAGCACTTTGTGCTACATTTTCTCTGTATGAAAAGTGCTTTATAAATAAAGATTGATTGATTGATTGATTGATTTCAAACTCCAGGCCTCGAGGGCCGGTGTCCTGCAGGTTTTAGATCTCAACCTGGGTCAACACACCTGAATCACATGATTAGTTCAGGCCTCTGGAGACTTGTGTTGGACCAAGGGCAGGATCTCTAACCTGCAGGACACCAGCCCTCGAGGCCTGGAGTTCGACACCTGTGATGTAAATATTATGTGCTGTGGTTTGTCTGTAGTAGTTTCTTGCCCATAAAACAGGGCTTCAAATATGAAATGAAACTGTTTCTATGTAACAGTTTTTAAAATTTAAAAAAACATTGTCAGTTTTACTGATGATAGCTTCAGGTTTAACCATAGAGGCATTAGACTGAAATAAAATGTATCCACCAACTTGTGGTCTTTTTTGTTAGAACAGGACTTAAACACACACAAACAAACTTTATTTGTCACATAATTGTAGAGAGTACAACATGTAGTTAAATGCTCACGTCCGAACTGCGGACAGGCTGCGAATGTAGCCGCGCCATTCCGGGGCTTGGTTTTTTAGCATAGGGGGTCTAGCCAGGACCCTTACTGGATACCAGGTGGGAAACAAACTTGTGACTCCCACTTTAAAGGTGTGTTTTGTCTATTTGATTAATAAATAATTTTGATAGACAAACATTCCTTGTTTAAACTTTTTCTTGTGACTTCTTGATGTTTTTCTTGATGTTTTTTTTTATCTATAGATAAAAGAATACACTATATATATTATACAACTGTCAGAATTAATAATTTAAGATTGTCATTTGTGCTAAGATATATACAACCATACTTTTATGTGTCTTAATATGGTTGTCATTATGTAAAAAGAGCTAGATCAGCTTTAGTTCCATTGCTTGTATGTGTGCTGATTAAAATACTAATGTAGCTTTGTGCAGACTGAGGATCAGTCTCAATGCTATAATTTTCCATTATAGCTTTAGAAACCAGAGTGTTCTCTTCTATTAAAGTGCAAGATTTCACACCGTTTAATGTTCATTTGAGATATGACCTGTTGCAAGTTCCTGTTTTTATAGTTTAGCGAGATGCTCACTTCTGCTGTTCCTGCATGACACACTTTGTAAGAGGGCAACTGCAGAGATTAATATCATGCTTTGTATGGTGTCAGGATGTCACACACACACACACACACACACACACACACACACACACACACACACACACACACTGTGATGGCTGCACTTACAGCCACACAGTGGTAATACCCACCATGTTAGTGTAGAGGCTTATAAGTAACATTGCATTCACATTGTCTTTCTTTAAATATAGGAATTAATTTACAGGACAATAAATAACTGGTTTTGGTTTAGAGTTAATTCACATATCCACATAACACTGCATTCTAAAATAAGTGCGCACATTTTAGTTTACACTGTTATGTATGATTAATTTTTTGTTTTCTGAGTTACCTTAGTTGCAGCTGTTCCAGTCCCTTGATTAAGGAGCCAAGAGGTGGAAAAGGGGCGGAGCGAGCTTTAAAGGAAGACTACAAATTGGTTCACGCCATAACTCAGGACCATGGGGGGGAATTGGAGTTCATTATGTTTGGTTTAGTTAGGTTTTGTGTGTTTTACCCCTTCTCCTGTTTTTGTGGGCTGATCAGCCACTATTTAAGTTTCCCCTTTGTCTCGTTAAGTTAGGTCAGTTTGTTTGAGTTGTCAACTTCGAGTAGAGTTCTGTTACTTTGACCTCTTTTATGGGCCCAAGATTTAGATTCTTTTTGCATGATTTAACCAATTATGTTTTTTGGGTTAAATAAAAAATAATTTCTTTGGACTTTAACCTGTGCCTAAGTTTCTTTCACTGCTCGGTCCATCTCACACACACACATGCACGCACACAGGTGTATGCTTTGCTCACACACACATGCCTGCTTAAAACTGTCACATGGTTAACTGAATTGTGTTTAACCTCTGTTGTCAATAAAACAGTGAGCCGGACGGAGAAGAGTGTGAGTTGCTTTGACAGGTGAGTGGCAACACTGCCCTCCGTGAAGCTCCCCTTGCAAGTGAAATGGACACTAGTGTCTGTGTGGTTGCTTTCCGTAACAGCTTCTGTTTACCAGCAGGGTTGAGTTAAACCCAACACAACACAATTTTATATTAGGTTTGGAGAATGCTTTTGCTTTGAGATCCCTTTCCTTCACGTGAAATGTAATTAACAGTGGACAGGTACATTTATATATAGTACACTATAACTTATATCTATATGTGTAGTATATTTCTTATGCAGGTGTCAGACCTGGGGTTAGAATTGCTTATAAACTGGTTTTTATTTATGAAAAAGTATATAACATTCTACTTGAATTAACTTATAGACATTCTTTGTTTAAATGCAAAAACATATTAATGTAAAATCACTGTTAATGTACAAATATCTTACATAAAATTATTCAGAACGTAATCATGTGATATCCAGTTTTAACTCACTGGGTAAGTCACCTATTGCAATGTTCAACTGTTTAGATTTAATGACAACTGGAAAGACTACAACAAACACACAAAAATAAACATTAGATTCACTACACTACAAAAATAATGAGATATACAGTAGTATGAGCTCAGCATTGTAAAAAAAATAGTATCATAGTATATGTAAAAACATTCACTGTTAACTTATTATTGCGTTACAAATTAATGTCCCTATATTAAAATGTTTAATTTCAAATACTGCACACAATATTGTTAAATATTTCTACACTATTTCAGTTAGTTTTGCCTCATGGGTTTAGGGAAATGTTTTTCCACTTACTAGTCTTTGCTTTTATTAAGTTACATAAATTCAAATCTTTTATTTTATCACTATTTTATAAGGGAAAAGTCTAGATGCTGGTGTCATTGAATAAAACTTGATTACCACTAAAACATAAAGTGTTACAGCTATTCTATTGTTTCTTTTTTTTTATTATTTTGTTTTGTTGCCAATTTCAGGTAAACTTTTGAACAAAGTAACAACAACCTCTTAGGGAATGATTCATCTAACATAGAATATACACAAGTTTATACTCACTTTAGGAAAGCATTTAGTTCATTTTGATCTTGTAGTCTTGCCGTGACCTCTTCCATAATGTCTTTAATATTAGTCAGTATCACTGCTTCTGTCAATGTAAAAGTAAAAGATTAGAAACCAGTGGAAGATGTGAGGTGCCATTGTTTAGAGCAGGGGTCTCAAACTCAAATGAGCCACGGGCCACTTCTGGTACCGTCATCTCATTGGAGGGCCACTTTAGTGTCCAAGTAGTACAAAAAACCAAACACGAAAACACCCTCTAATATTTTCCTAAAATGTAGTGTTTTGTTTGTTTTATTTAATTCCAAATATTGTGTAACAAGACAAAATTGTAAACATGAATGAATTTTTTTTCTCACTCTTAACTATCTGAAGCCTTTCAGTTTAAGTTTCATTTGTCATATGCAAGTTAGCACAGGGTCAACATTGCAATGAAATGTATTTGACGAGCAGAAGACAGTCACTCAGCAGTATAGTACAGTATAGTAGAGTAGTTTCATTGAACTACCAAATAAACAGCTCTTTCTGGCCAGACACGTGGCAGCACTTTTGCTACAATTTTGTTTGTATTTAACAAAATAAAATTGCAGGTATAAGCATACACATTAGTTTTCGACTGCCAGTGAAAATTGTTTTCTTTCCAAATAAACCTCTCACTAAACTAACACAGCTCTCAACATGTTTGCACTCTCTTGTTACCTCGGCCAGGTCCGCGGCTCCGAACCTTGGTAAGGAGACCTCTGGCTTATACTTTGGGTTCCATGTCGGGCTCGTAGCTGGGAACTAGCTTTACTGTCTGGGTCAACTTTGCTAGCGAGAGACAGAAAGAGGCACTGAAAGGCTGCTCCAGCAGAACTTTATTGTTTCGGAGGAAAACACGAAAACAGTGTACAGTCGAGTCTTAATAGCTTACTGGGCTCATCAGGCACTCTTTTTGGCTGCAGTGGTTATATTTATATTTACATGCTTCTATCTCCCGTTTCTGCTCGGTAGCACCTCCTACTTTTTGACTTTCCTTTTTCTCCCTCCCTCACGCTCACACTGCGGGAGGGGTGGTCCCACACGTTCTCCCTGCAGCAAGGACTACACTGCCCATGAGGCTACAGTCTTAAAGCGCCAAGCATGTAACGCTCTGCCGTCGTGTTAAATCATTTTTCGTATAATAATTTTTAAAAAAAATTTCTTCATATCAATATGCAAGTAGGCCGCAAATGGCCCGCGGGCCGTGAGTTTGAGACCCCTGGTTTAGAGAAAAACTAAAATACCTGAGTTTTTTCCTGGTGTAGACACACGCTGTTGTTTAGCTGCTGGCTGCTTGCTAGATTTGCCCTGAGGATTGGACTTCCTCTTTCCTATGTGGATTTAAAACAACAACGAGGACGACGATGACAACAAATAAATGTTAAAAATACCAAAAAAAAAGAGAAGAAGGCATTGAAACCTTCAGTAATGAAACGTGTTGTCAGCAGATTTATTTAGTCCAAACAAAAATATTACTGCCTTGAAAACTTGGATGAATTTTAGATCAACAAAACTAATTAACACTGTACATGTATCTCACCTTTATTAGATGTGGATGGGACAACCTGAGGACAAACATAAACATTTGACTTTTAAACAGTATAGAAAAAACACGTTAGTCTTTAAAAATTGTGAGGCTTTTAATAAATCCCTACCTCATCCTCTGAAATGTAAAATTTCAATCCAATCTGTGATGAAATTGTCAAAATTCTGATTTTCAATTTATAAAATCAGCTTTTTGCTTTTCAGTAAAAACTGTATTAAAATTTGTTAGACTTCAGTTACCCCTGTACAGGAGGTCTGGACCCACTCTCCATCTAACGGGTCAGAGTCTTTATATCACTATGGGTATTTTATTAGGTGAACTGAGACTGGTTTAAGACGGCAGTGAGGAGGACTCGCTTAACTTCTAACTGCTTTAATCCAGGCGCCCACCCTGCACATCATCTGACTCTGGGTACCGACCAGCAACCCTTAGTGAGACCCAATTGACAGCCACATGTTGAAGGCAGCTCTCATCTAGATCTATGGCACTTGTTATTTGCTAAGTATATTTTAGAGACCCGGACAGACGGTCCCAAGGGGGTGTTATTTATTAATTGACTAGAATAACCCATAAGAACTCTAAACTGTTATCAAAGTATAACCTTTTAATCTTGGATGAGAACCATACAACGAATGTCCACAAATTTAACTGCAGATAGGAATTTTATTTAAGCAAGATTTTAGCAGGGTCAGCTCAATTACAACACTTAAAATCTCTTCATACTTAACCATCCTACAATACTGTACTCTCTCTATCCTGTTGCTAAATATCTACGACTTTGTTTGCAGTGGGTTTTGGAAAGGAAGAAAGACCATCCTGGCCACGGATAAAATCGTCTTCCTCCTGGGCTGGAAGGAATCCAACTTTAAGAAATTGCGCAACCCTGTACAGGGCTCCCTGACTTCCTCTTCTCGACTCCAGTTTAGGTCAGAAAACAATGAGCAGGGAATCCAAGTTCTATCATCGAATTTATACATTTCCTGTTATGTTCTTTTCTGACAGTTCCTCTTTTTACCACACCCAAACGGTCACGGTCTAATTTCCTCATTACGTAATCACTTAAACACTGAGATTAAAAATACAGACAAAATAATTTCTCAGGATGTATTTCTTTTTAACTCCAATTCATCTTCAATATATGATTTACTTTTAGCTCAGTGGCAAATAAATTATTCTTATGACTCTGTGTCATTATTCTTATGACAGAGTCATTATTCTTGGTTTTACCACCCATGGAGTTATACCGGGGAATCTCACACTCATCTGACAAATTAAATTGAACATGCCTTACCTTGTCCTGTTTCCTTTAAAAAACTCTTCAGGGCAAGACCATGTAAAATGTTCAGATTTTGAATGTGTAATCTATGTTACAGATAATATGAAATCAGAATAAAACTGCATTGAACTTACTTGAGTTGCAAGACTGTCCATTTCCTGACTTGTGTTTTGTTCTTCCTAGCAAAATGGAGACAGTTTCAAATCCATAACTGTATAAAATGTATAAATTCTAGTAAATTATTTTTTCAAAATTATAGTTTTCAATAATACATAGTGTGTGAATACCATGATAACGTTGAAGTCAGCAGCAAGGTGCCAATCAGTAACACGTAGTAAAAACAAAAATAAGGCAAAGTCCAAATTCAAGCTGGAGTGCAAAAGCAGAATTTTTTAAAAAAGAAACTGGAAATGTATATTTTGGATGAAGCCCAAAGGAGTTGTCACGGCCGATCAGGGGATTTGTATGTGTTGAGAATCAAGTGTTGAGAAAAGTAGGAAGGGCTGGTTTTATTGCAGGGTGGATGGGAGTGGCTCACAGGCTGCAAAAAGACAAAGAAAAAATGCCTTTGTGAGAAATAGAAACAGAATTTCTAATGAATGAAACTATGTAATTTCTATTCTGCATATGTCCAAGTCAGCAGACTGTGTTAATTATAAGGCTGAAGAGTTTACAACTGAAAGGAAGCTTTAATAGCTGATGAAAATTTTCAAATGTTAAGCTAAGCTCAAAATACATATGTTATTTTGTTTTATGTTTTAGCAGTTCCAAAGACTGGTAACCATTGTAACTTTCCTGAAAGTAAAGCTTACCTGAACTCAGGCTTAAATTTACTTTAAGACAATCATCTTTGTATGGACATGAGTAATAACATATGCAAAACTAAAGCCATGTTAGAATAAGTAAATCTGATGTATGTATTTAGCATTTGTATTTTAACCTTTTAATCATTTCTTATGGATGCATGTTGTTGCTCTTGTCGACACTTGTAAGCTCTTGGTTTCCTTTTATTAGTAAATTACATCAGCATTTTGCACTCAGTTTCAACAACTGCAGTGGCACCAGAAAAAAAAAACTTGAGATAAAAAACAGAGGCAGTTTCTTCTGCCCTCGTGTGGTGTATCATGTAATTACAATGCAGGTATGTGCAACTGTAACATTATTTGTGCATAACTGAATTGTAACTACTTAAGTAAAGCTAATTCTGGGAAGGTAACTTTGTCATTGTTAGTATTTCCTGTTCTCCTACTATTCACCAGCAACCGCAACATTTAAAAGAGAACATAATAGCTCTCCCTAAGAATAAACTGGTGGAAAAACAAGTGCTTTCAATGAAAACGTTGGAAAGCATGAGACAACTTCACCTGCTATAGCCAGTGAATCATTATTGTCTTTTAAACAGCAGAAAGAGTTGCTGTTGATCAAGTTGAAGCACATTTAAACAAAAAATCTAATGTATGTTTTCAGGATTTTGATTTGTTTGTTTTTTTATAACCTTTTTATTATTTTGTATTTCCAATTTCCAACTAACAGAGTTGCTCTTAAGATATATTGATCTTTTTGCACATTATTTTTGTTAAGTTGACAGTAAAGCTAAATCAGAGTGCCCTCTTCAAAAGCTGTGTTTACACTGACAGACTTGCTGGTTGGTCCAAAAAAAAAAAATAGGTATAATAAACTTTGTGAAGAATAAATGTAGCTCATGTGCTACAAAAAGAAAGAAAAACAAACAAACAAACAAAAAACAAAGAACAAAAAAAACCCAAGTATAAGATCACAATTATGTCACACATAAAGCAAGGTCAGAAAGGTTGCAACAGGAATGCCTGGATGATGAACAGAAACCAAAACTATGATCATGTGCATGTTTTAATAAACAAAACCATCTAATGCAAATCTTCCAAAAAGGTATGGAAAGTTTCCATTTGCCAAATACATGTTTGTTTCAGAATCCTTATCACACACTGAGTAATTAGGTTCATATCTTAAAATCTCTTACAGGTATTATTGGTATATAAGTATCTTATAGGTATACATGTTTGAGTCTGTATGTTTTCTTCCTTTCACATAGCAAAATTGGTATGTCCCAGATCTGGCCCACACAATGTGCTTACACATGGCCCACATACCGCAAAGAATGATGGCCCTTTGGTGGCCCAGATTTGGCCCACACTGGTGGTCCTGTACTGGGCCACGTGTGGACTACCTCTGGCAAACCTGATCTGGGCCACCAAAGGGCCGTCATACTTTGTGGTATGTGGGCCATGTGTAAGTTGTGTGCAGCCCAGAACAGTTTCAGCTCTGGCCCCAGATGTCAGCCCTAATGTGTACCTTAATCAAACCATGTAATAACAAAATGTGCCAGACAGTGAATGGACTGACTTATATTTACCACTTTTCTAATTTCCTGGCTTACTTAAAGCACTCTATACAACATGCACCCAATTGCACACTTTCTCTAAATTGAGTGCTTCCTGATTACATTCATACTCTTGACATGCAAACTGGAGGAGCCAGGGTCGAACCACTGACCTTGCAATCAGTAGGTGACCTCAGAAAACTGTCAAACCTGCATTTGAAACGTTGGCTACCATAGCAGTATAGTATTGCAACATGGGATTTGGGTCTTCTAACTAAAATAGGAAAATAGGAACATAAATAGTGCCATCATTGCCAGACCTGGACCACATCCGGTTGACATACACCCTGCCATGAATCCAGTCAG